ATCTAGGTAAGTGACCTATTTTCACTTGTGTTTTCTGAGGCAATTCAAATACATCAAAACGGTCTAATTGAATAATTTCCCAAAGCATACCTATAGATTAATAATTAATGCATCGATAGTTGTACTATCGATTTCCATAATGTTCAAAAATATGTGTCGGTCTATTTATTGAAATGTTAAAAGTATATTTAATATTTATTAACTCAAATTGACATTAAATGAATCAACATTGGCTCATTATTCAATTTATAAAATTTACAATGTCTTCCAATAATGTAAGGTCAGACTTATATAGTTTTATCTTTCTAGATTAACTGGAAAGTATGCGCTCATAGTAGTTTTTAATCAAAATAAAATCCAATGTTTGTGTTTTGAACTGGAAATCGATTTATTTTATGACGTATTCGATTCCAGTAATATAGAGGAACTCTGTGGTACCTAAACTAAAAGGCAATTCAAGAAAATTATATTTTTTAAACTAGGAGCCAATTCAAGTGCCTAACTTTTGAGAGTAAAACTCAACGGGATGAAATTCGGGGAAATTTGATTTGCTTTTAAATGGAAAGCATAAATCGTGTGGGCCCAAAAATGTTTACCTATATGTATATAAAACTTGACACCGTTCGTATCGCAGCCATTGAATCCAAAAACCGCACGATTAAGATAAATTATATGGCAATATTGTACACTTTATTAGAGTTTTCGTATGGGTCCGACGCTATCCCATCGCATTACGCGTATATTATGTATACTTACGGATGAAGTCAGAACTTCCAATATTGAATATCTCGCGGTCGTAAACCAGAGTGTCGCCTGCACTCTCCGTGATATCTGGCAGCCGATTGTTTTGCGAACTACAAGGACTTGGGGGCATGTTTATTTGGAACTTTGACGTTTTACTCTAGAGATAGTCAAACAGAGAGCGACATTCGCGTACCAGAGGTGTCGAGTTCGTTGCACACGAAAAACTACATCATTTACGCGTGTAACGTCGGTACGCGATATCATAACAATAAATAAATAAACAACAGAATATAACACCTAGGTATGTTATATCGTGTATGGTTATAAAGTGGTTCGGCGGCAACTGCTTGTATATTATAGGTAGGTACGTCAAATGGAAATGGTTGTCGAGTCGTTAGAATCATGGCTTATCTACAACGAGATCGAGTAAACTACAAGTGGTACCTATCTGACGAATTAGCTTGATGTGATTATCATAAGTATAATGAATATTATAAATACGGGGTGATCTATTTCATGTGAGGTACTCAATATTTAAGAAAAAACTTATGTTTTTGAAAATGATTCGTTTGTTAAAAACAAATTCTTTTAATTTAATATTTCGAAGAAGAATATTGTTCAGAGTATTTCGATCTATAGAAATCAAATTTCAGACAAGTAGTTAATTAATTATGAGTAGGACTTTAAAGTTTAGACGATCAGAGTTGTGGACCAACATTTTTTTAGGGTAGTGATACTTTCTACGACTGTAACACTAAACTCATAAACTATTAGTTCAAAATTCGATTTTAATACACCGGACTCCAAAAGTATTTTGCTTTGGAGTAAAGAATTAAAAATATATGTTATCGTTTAAAGAGGTAATAAATTTAAAAAATTTAAACAATAAGAAATGATAAAAAATAATTTTAACTTTAATAGGTTTTTAAATAATGAGTGTCTTACGTTAAATGGATCACCCAGTACTTATAAGTGTATATGCACTATTAGTCAACATAATAATGCAGACAACGAATAAAATAACAACGCACGAGCATGATCATAAACATTTTTATGGTATTATTATTGATCATGATGTGCACAGTAGCTAATTCTCATTCCATGTGTTGTGTGTTATCATCCATTCATGTGTTTGTACTGTGAGTTCTAACCGGGGATAACAGATTTTCCTGCCCTACGACCATTAATGAGACGCTATTATAAGCAGGAGTTCATAATAATTCATAATAAGCCATAGCTAAATAAGTTATTTTTTTTTATAATATTTAATGTGTGTTCTTCTTAACTTTTTTAACACAGTGATAGAACAAATTAAATTGTTAATATTTCCTAAATTATGGATTTAAAATAATTTATGACAGATCTAAAGATATATAGATTCATATAGTTTGCAGATACGACTATTATGTAGAATATGTAATATATATCATGTGAATATTTTCAACACACCGCATACGTAATGAACTAAAACTTGACACAGTAATACCATACCTAAATGAAATAAATTAATATGTGCCTTGCCATCAGATTATTAGTAAATCAAATATTTCACGTTGTCTCATAAGCCAAAAACAATTTTATGATACATGGAACAAAAATTTATGTTTTATAGTAATTTAAAGTCATTACTCATTAGTCATGACTTATAATTATTATGCTATGTTAACATTTCAAAAGAATTTAGTATACTTGACCCATTTTTACAAATTATTAATATTGATAGATTCATATTAATGACTAAAATTTTCAAATCACTCTAGCCTCTATATCTTAGGTATAAACCCATAACGATTTACATTTAATCCTTAGAACACAAAGTTAAATAACTCAAACACTACTAGTGATTCTCGCCACCTCACCATCCAACAAGCAAACTAGATCTTCGATCCTGAGAAAAAAGCCGCTCTCCTGGCCGATTCCTTGAAAGCCCAATTTTGCTCCCTTCAATGCAATTCTAACATAGACGTCTCAGCTCAATATAAACTGACCCAACAGCACACACTTCTATCCACTTCTACCTCGTTCTTCAATCCTTCTGAAGTTTGGAATATAAATAAATCGCATACGTGCTCCTGAGCCTCACAGCTGACTCAAAACCATCACATATCTATGCCATATATTCAACTGGTACAGACGTCACAACTATTTTTCTCTGCAGTAGCCGATGCAGTAGTCATCACCATTCCTAAACCCAGCAAGGTATAAACCTCGCCGATCCAGACAATCATCGTCCGATCTCTCTCCTGAACACCCATGTCCAAAGTTCTGGAGAAACCTGACTCAAAATTCACACCGTCTCCAAAATCCGTACTAACCAACATGGTTTCAGAAGTGCTCACAGCACTATCACTCAACTTCTCAGAGTCATTGACGATATCTCTCTAAGTCTCAACAAAATAACCAAAACAGTTGCAATCCCGCTCGGCGTCGAAAAAGCCTTTGACAAGGTTGGGCACCACTGCAGCCAGCTGATTGACCTCAATGTACCCAACAACCTCATCACTGTCCTTGCCGGCTGAGTTCCTGTGACACCACACGAAGATCACCTTCAAGACCGTCGATGTTTATCAAACGCTCGGACTGTGAGAGTAGTCCTCGTATAGAGCCAGCACGGAGAACACTAAAATAGCCCATTTTAGGGTCATCAAAATAATATCCTTACCAGCGCAACTGATTAGGCCATGCTTTCCTAGACGATATGTACGAGCTATCACCACTTGTTCAAGCGGAATGGACGGAATATATAACATACTCCAACCCAAACGTAACAAACGGTACTATTCCCAAGATTGTAACTGAAGACCCTATTATAGGACTGAAATTCTTGTATCCTCTGATGTGTGATCTCCAACCCCTCAATTTGTATTATATGTATTTTGTATGATAGAAATAAACAGGATAGTTCTGTAACACAACACCGACATAGTTGAAATTATTGAAAGACGGTATCTCAATCTCATTGCAGAGCACCGTTTCAATTTTTATAATAAAATATTTTTATGAAATATGTTTTGAATAATTTTGACATACTGCTGTAATTGGCACTTATTCAATTTTCATACATTTTTTTTTTTATTGATTTTGACATTATTATTTTATATTTGCATTATAATTTACTAATTAACTAATAATAAGAAAATAACATAATTTAATGATTTTTAATTTGAGTAAAAATACTAAACAAATACCCAATACAGTATGTCACGTAGTCATAAACTTAACGAATACGTTCGCATCTTTTATACCTTTCATAAAATGTATTCGATATATTTAATTAATTTATCATTTAATCATTTCAAGACAGGTGTTATGTTTTTCGAGGAATGTCATTTTGTAGCACTACGCTATATTATTAAAAGATTATTAATCGATTATAGGTGCTGTACACTTACATTGAAAGTATGTATTTTATTGACAGACTATTGCGGAATATCAGGCATATATGAGTATATGACATGCCTATCTAGTTTTTATGAAGCCAAATCCAAAATTTAAGTATTTACATTTATCTTGGTGTTTGTAATTGACACTTCAAAATTTCAAACACATTGCTACTGAAAATGATCTAGAGCAATTTAATCGATAAAACGATACATTTAAAACACAATAAACATACAATTATTAAGTATTAATTAATATTTTATTTTAAAACAATATAATATGGTCCGGTTTCTTTATTTTTCATCTTGTTATATTTATGGATAGCTGAATTACTATTTTTCGTCTTACATAAAATAATATTTCAAAATTGTTTAACCCTGCAGGTCATCTAATCAATTATAAATATATATTATATATAATCAATTTTTATATCACTGCCAATCTTACACATAATACTTATGAGTTACAACATCAAACAGAGTAGCGCAGTAAAGAAAATACATTCATATGGTCTACAAACAATGATGATAAAAAGTATACATCATTATTTTTATTTTTGACCAATTTTAGGACATTTGTAAAAATTTAGAATAAGTGAACCCAATAAATGTTTAGGCTAATAGCTTCGATATTTATCCTTCACTGTGTAAAATTACATGTGATCATTATACCGCACGAGTTTTATTCTTTTAAGTAGATAGGTAACAAAAAGGTCTCAAAACAAAATAAAACACAAATAAAAGTAATGTAGTAAGCAATTATTTGATGAAAAGTATATCATTTAATTTATAATTATTTATAATGTGAATGATTTATTACGTTCTATATAACTATAAAGGACATAATATTGTGATTTACAAAAACACATTGCTTAATAGATTATAGCTATATATTAAGTTAATACATTGTTTGACGTTGCACTGTTGCAATACAAAAAACACATATCTAATAGGTTTATCTATTTTGTATATCATTATGTTACACATTCTAAATATAATATTATTTAATAACTACGAAAGACAAGTTTGATAAAAATCAAAACAACAAAAACTCTCTCACTCTCTCTCTCTGTCCCTGTTTTTATGTATAGGTTTTAACCTAACCTAGGTTTTGACTTCTTTTTCTCAAAAATAATTTTTTTAATAACAGTATTGTAATAAATTAACACTAAACGTAGTAGAAAGTTACAGCTGGTTTCTATTACAATAATTTTAATATAAATAAATAAATAAAATTCAAAGTTTTATATATCTTATTATCTAGTTTAAAAATGCATAGGCATGTCATCTGCTTAAAAATTATGATGTATATTATATCTAGTTCAAATAAATCAAACAAATCATACAAGCAAAGTATTAAAATTCACTACAGAAGTACAGAATCGTAAATAATTAAATAATTAGTATAAATAGGTATACTAATGTTGTCAATAGAATTAAAACATGTGTGGATGTATATAATTGTAACCAATATTAAAATTAAAAATTAAATTCATAAAATCTTTTATCCAATTGTGTTGTCAGTCTGCCGACGAATTTTCAATTTGTTGACGTTGTTGCCTAAAAATTAATAGTTTTTAGTAGTATTAAAGGTATTTCAATAAAACCATTCATATTGTGAATACTGACTTCCATCTTTGGAACAACTGATCCAAGTCGTGTCTATGATAATATGTTATGAATCCTTTGGGTTGGACTCCTTCAAACACAGCTACCACACTTGGTTTTAAATTGTAAAAAAACAAAGCTTGACCCCTTTTCGAGAAGTCTTGTGTTAACATCTCGATGACCTTAAATAAAAAGTGCAAACATGAATACCAATAATTTTTTGTAATAATTCATGTCATTGTTTGTCAGACCTTTGCTGCGGTAAAGTCGGCGCCATATATGTGTGAACAGTCGATGACCACAGGAAGTTCTCGTTTCAAACTTTGTTTCATCACCAAATTTCTGACATAATCTACCGACGGGAAAACCAAACATCTGTCTGGAGTGACCATCAAATAGTTTATGCCGTCTCTTGTCTGTAATCAAGTTTTTTTTCATGTAACAAATAAGACAGCGTTTAAATTTGTCAAAAAACATACCTTATGCACTTCAATCAACAGTTTTGGTCTTGCCGCGTGATATAAAATCGAAACCAAATTCAATCCAATACCTATTAACACTCCTATTTCCAAAGGTAAAACCAAACAAGCAAAAAATGTTGCCAAACCTGGTATGAGATCACTTTCTAAAGAAAAAACGGTGAACGTAAGAGTAAAAAACAAAATATTACAATTTTAAAACTCATGGCGTATATAGAATACATAACCGACATTTTTTCTTTATTAATGAATTTATTCAAATCCTGATTTTTTAATGAAGTACTAGGTATATTATATACTAAAGGACCATAAATTAAAAAACTTATATTCTGTTTACCATTTAAGAACTGTCAAAAATGATGACAACATCTATTTTTCGAAAAACCTCTTTTTTCCATATGTTGTTAAGCCAATGGCTTATTTTAAAAAATTTGGTGTATCAAAATTAAAATTCAAACGAGTAGTTTTCAAAATATTTAACTTTGTGTATTAAGGATAATACATCCAATATAATAGGTTTAGAAGATATGAGGGTTATGATTATTTAAAAATAATTGTAATTTATTACTAATTTACTTTTCATTAATTACCAATTTATAATATTTTATTACTTATCACTAATTTATTATAATTATTCGATTTTAAGAAGTAGTTATAACTAGCTATTAACAAGTATACATGATTAAATATTCCATAAATTTTTAATTTTTGTAAAACCATTTCTAAGGACTATTATTCTACTAGAAGTAATACCTATTGACCTATGTAATATACATTTTAATAACTCCAAAACTAATCGTTTTAATTATAATTTAGACACATCAACATTTTCAAAAAAATCATTCACTTAACAATATACAATAAAAAAATGTGGATATTGCATCAGACATTCAGGCACCAGATACTTCTTAAATAGTTTAAAAATCTAAATACTTGAAAATATCTTAAGTAGTAGGTATTCCCACTTAAGAACTCTAAATTCAGAATTTGAATAAATAAATAATTAACCTAAGACATGGATGGATGAGCATGCTTATTGCTTAGTATTATCATCCACCGAATATACGAGCTTGATGAATTTCATCGTATTTCTTATTTAAATATGAATATAAAAATCATGTATTTACTTACTTTTCGATCTATAAATAGGCCTGACCACGCGCACTTCAACCATAAATATGACCGCGGCAATAATGATCGCTGCAAGAGCCGCTTTTGGTATGTAATACAAATAGGGTGTACAAAAAAGCAAGGCAACGATGACTAAAATACCTAAAAAAAATATTATGAATTTTTGAGAGTTAAAATAAAAATTGATATTTACAAATAACGGTGCTTTAAGAAGCGAATCGTGCGATCGAATTTCGGGAGCACTGCTATTACATTACCATATTTTGTTTATTTTTTAAGTACCTATTTACGTATTTACACAACAAATGATATTTTTAATACAATAATTATTAATAAAAAATGATATTATTCTAACCGGCGTATAAACCCTCCATCGGAGTTCGAACTCCACTAGCTGCGGTCACGGCACTCCTGGAAAAAGACCCAGTGCCTGGATACGCGTGGAAAAACGAATTGCCGATGTTGCACAGACCAGTCGCCAGTAACTCTTGTGTGGCGTCAACGGGCTTACCGTCGGCTGTAGAATAACGTATAGTAATTATTAAGGATCAACATTTCAGGGGAAAAAAAGTTTTGACAAAAAAAAGGAAAATTTGGAAAATTTCATAAAAAAATGGTTTTTTTGGAAAAAATTCTTTTTTCCTATAGATTTAAACAAGTACTGTAAAGTTTTTATTTTGACCAGATTGAGTACATGTAGGTCTGTCTTAAGTCTTACCAATCTTATATATATATATAATAAGTAATACAACTTATACAAGTAATAATATCTCAAGAATTTTTTTGTTACATTTTTTACTTGATTTTTACTGTTTTGACCTACTAAAATGCAACGGCCAACGAGTGATATTTATTTTAAATATTTTCATATTTATTAGAATTTATATACGTATCAACACTTTAAAAACACATTGCAATAGTCTACAAGCTATTTTAATACAAGAAGGTATGGTTGTAGGTCATTTAATTTTTTGTTAATAGTAATAATTGTGCCCTTTACAACTTAAGCATTATAATTCCTTATTTTTTTGGATAATATAATTTATATGATTATTCTTACTGAGTACTAAGTCAACATTATACCTATTATGTATCGTTAATCCAATAGGAAAAAACTTTATAAGTACTACAATATATTGATTGTTAAACATAATGATTACTCGTAAAACTATTAAAGTGTACGTACAATATACACAAACATAATACATTAGGCATACTTTAAATTAACTATTGGTATGTATTGTACTTATAAGTTATAAACCAGTAAACAGTAGTGTTTTTAATTACCTGCCGCAAAAATATTTTTTACTAGTCGTTGTTGTCACAGTGACTACTCAAGACTCGCCTATCTACACATGATACTGCACTATGGGTTAGACGGATTTATATTTATTTATGATAACTAAGAATTACTACGTGTAAAATCAATCATATCTTTAAGGTATCGTCAATATCAAATGATTTTTCCCATGCTATCGCGACATACATCGATGATCGATTGCATCGTAGATAAACTATAGGTCCTCAAACTTAAACTCAATAATATATTTAGAAAAAGATTTGGCGGAAACGATGACCGCCCCCCCCCCTATAAATAGTTCAGTAACAAACAAACGTGTCTAAGCCACTCCCTTAACAAGGCTCTGTTTAAAATTGACCTACAACTACTATTATATTATTTAATATTAAATTTAACTGACCGAATGTTTTGCATATGGAAATGGTCTCAATCAGTGCTATTATCGGTAACACTATAACTCCAGAACCTATGTTCGAGACCATTTCAAAGAATCCTACTGTAGTTCCGTTATCTTGTGTGATGCTAAACTTTGGCAGATCGAATTCTGGCAAACCAGACGGTATTTTACCTGCAACACATAATCATTTTAACGATCACCTGGTACGGATACCCATACCCACCCACTACCATGATGGTAGTCTGGATGGTCTGCAGTGTTCGTGTCTATATACTTACCAACCACTTTGAACGGTATCGGGGGTATTGCGTCAGAGGTCACGTCGTGTCCCGTCGAAGTTATGTACACGTAACCCACGTAACTGCTAACGATAACCACTATCGAATTTCTGAATGTACCGATCAGCCACATGGATCGGTTCATGATTTTGTGGAACGTGGTCTGCTCTTTCACGTCTTTGGGCCCGATTTGACACAAAGCCATTCTCTTAAACGTTTCAAAAACCAGCATACATAAAAACCACGCAAATAACCGGTATAGGTACGAGAGACGATGTACAAAATGAACTTATCTGTACTTGAATCCTGTTTTATAGCCATATAGGTACTTACCCTCAACAAGAGAATAATAACGATGCAAATTATCCCTAGCCACGTGTCGCCCAGTTGAAAATTTTTAATGTCTTTGGATATCGATATTATCATGTCCAATAGCGTTGTCCCCGCGGCTTTGACGCCAATCAAGTCTTTGATTTGTGAAGCGACGATGAGTATCGCGACGGCAGACGTAAACCCCGAGTTCACTGGTCCGGAAATGAAATCGATCAAAAAGCCTTTGGCAACAATATCGGGGGAATTATTATATTATAATAATTAATTAAACGTCATATAATTTATAAACAGCCGATGCGCATTCGACGAAGTTTACCTAGTCCCACTACGCCCATTATCAATTGGATGACACCTGTTAAGAAACACAGTAGTGTGCCGTACACGGGTCCGAGTCCGTGGAGCGTGTTGTACGTCATTAGCGATATGATGGCCGTCGGTCCCATGGGTACTTCTTTACAGGTGCCGAGGAAGACGTACATCAAACTGCCGACGAACGAACCATAAAGACCTTGCTGGAAACGAGATCAAACGCAGCAGTATAAGTAAGTATATTACGAGACGTCAACTATACAGCAATCGGACGAATTACAGATAAAAAAATGATACCATATAATATATCATAAATAATTTTACTTGTGGCGGTAGACCGGCTAGAGCGGAATAGGCCATCGATTGCGGGATGAGCGTCAGACCGACGGTGATGCCCGCCAGAAGATCTCCGATACAGTCGGCTGTGGAATACGTCGGCCACCATTGTAAAATCGGCAGTCTTTTGGTAATTGTTTTGTACGTGAACACTGTCTTTGAATTACTGTTCAGACACGACGAGAATTCGTGAAATTTTTCTTTGACATTTTTCTTAGGTCTTTCCCCGACTTCGTCTACAACTGTGATACGTATTTAACATCAATTTCTTCTAACTTGACTTGATGCATCACAATATTAACTAGTAACGGTTTTCCATTAAAAACTGTTATTGATTAATATCATAATAAATCAATTCAAAAGTCGTTTCTTTAGAAAGTTTTATTGCAAATCTTAAGCGATCAGTTATTGACAATAGCAATAATTTATAAGACGAAGACGTATAAATATATATATATTATATACTATATTAAGTGGGTATTGTAATGTATGATATATTGCTTAATTGTTTTTATTGATGATCTGTAGTTACTTACGTATAAAGTCGTTGCTGCCTATTGTGTATTGAGATCTTAAATTATTATCGTTCACCTCCATCTTTTCACATCGATTTTGGTGTCGATCGTTATCATCGTTAATAATGGTCATTTAGAGCAACCTGAAAATTAAATCATTACATTTATATTAATATAATTTTATAAATAGTTGTATGTCATAGTTGTTTATAGGTAGGTACCTATATATATTTTGTTTAAATAGGTTGAGGGTAACCGGTATGTAATATGATAATTTACTACAGATGAATAATTATAGGTAGCTATCAAATAAAATTATATTGTATATTTTACATAGTTATAATTTGTTCTTACAATTGCCGTGGCCGTTTCGCCAGGAAGTATTTCGGATGCCGGCCGTTCTGATGGGGGGGACGTGGCCGCAAAAATGCAGCCTATTCGTCAAATTTCTAATTCCAAAATTACAAGGTTTAGTAACGATAAGTTTAATATATACCTTATACCTATTATATATTCAATCATGTCTTCTTATTATATCGCTTCAGTTAAATGGTTGTAAATACATAAGTGTAAGTATAAAATATTTAACTTTAATTTATTTAAAATGATTTTTTTTTTTAATTTGTGTAAAATTATGGAATGCTGTATGAAATAAAATGTTAAAAAAGTTTTGCTGTTTGTATATTATCATAATATTGATCTACTTTAATAGGTATTACTGGTGTTAGGTGTAGGTGTACCTAGTAAGCAGATTCTGAGCTCAAAATTATCCCACTGACCAATCGCCGTATGAAAACTGAAAACGGCATTTCATTTCACGGACCAATATAATTGTTAGTTTACGCCATTGGTGGGTCAATGTCTGAGTATTGCAGCTGCGCGTAGCTGTAGGGCCCATTAAAATTAGCCAACGCTCATTATTATTATATCAACAACACGAATATAATGATTAATAAATTACTGAATAATAAATATGGAGCGTGCGAGTGTGACAAATAATGTCCGGATGGTCCATCAGGCAAACAATTAATAAATCAACTGTGTACAGTATCGGCGCAATATTTTTTTATCTCTCTTTTATTTATTTATTTTTTTTTTTTTTATTGACAAGAAAATAATCGAATCGATGAGAGACAACTTTACACGCACATATAGTTTGTTCAATTGATTGAAGATTGATTATTGTTGTTGGAATGTACGACTACGTCTTTGAATCTAGTACACTATATGGCAGTGATGCTATTGATTTTGTCGGCGTACACATACGAAGCAAATGAAATAAAAAACGTTAAAAAGCTAAGGGTCCATTTCGCACTTGTCGCCATATATTTTGACGACGGTTAATGGTAATCTTTCAAGTCACTGTTTCATTCACGGATAATTACGAACATGAAATATACACGCTCATTATGAATTTTTTCTGCCGTAAACTGTCATATAGAAATAAATCTGTAACTCTTCGCTTTTGTACACTTATTATATGTACATAAATGGGGGATCTACAATAGGGCAATAATGTCAGTTCAATGAGTAGACATGGTAGTAATTTATTATTAATTAATTATATAGATGTAGATTCTGAGCAGAGCGATGAATTAATTGATTTCACAATGTGTGTTTTTACTTTTTTATATATGTCATTTACCTTTTTGGAGCACTAAAAGTCTAAAAATGCATATGTTTTCAACTTAACTGTTATCTTTTTTGGAAGGAAAGCGAATCTAATTGGTTCTTAGGAACATCAAAAGTAAAAAATGTCCAGTACCATTCTTAATAATTGGGAAAAACAAAATTAAAATTTTTTTCAAATCAAGAATTTTTAAGCAAAACCAGTGTTTGACCAAACGATTTTCTTATTAGATTGTAATTCAAAAACAAATAACCGTAGATGCTTTAAATTGTAAGCAAATCTTGACATTAACATTTTCTATACATAGTATAATTTTCAAAATATTTCGACTCTTTGAGAACTATTTATTGACATGTGAGTTTTTTTCGATAATTGTCAATAAAAATGTGTATATTGGTCCATAAAAAGGTTAGAAATTAACAAAATTTGATTAGATTCAATGACAACACACAGTCGAAAGCTACTATATAGAGCAAAGCGGTTACCTAATGTCTTCACTTTGTACTTGTATTTGTACTTTACATTATTATGTAATTAATTGATGAATTTATATTACAATATATTATATACAATAATTGTATTAGCAGAAATCGCGAATTATTTCGCTTAGAGTTTTCATGTGCCTATGGTAAGATTTATTATTAATCTGATAAAATTATTATTCATTGTGACCTTGAATTATTTTATCTTAAATAATTTCAATTTAGAGATAAGGTTCAGTCGGACCGAAATCATCGTTCAACAGGAAACAGAGAGAGTCAAGAGTACAGACCTATATACATACAGTCATACAGATAGTTTTATTTTCTAAAATCCTCAATATATTTTGTTACCACAATATCTCGTGTATACACCATGAGTGTCATATACTCATATCTGTGTTAATTCAGAAATTATGAGCTTGTGAAAATAGTACATTTTCATTTATTTAAACATCAATATAATATTCTAACGACCAATTACTTGGTAATGTGTAGCACCGGTTAACGAAACTTAATTGTAAGGTATAAAAAACATTAGGTAGGTATAAACAATACTATAATATTATGAATATTATATATATTACAAAATTTAATTTTATAATTTATAATTTATTATTAATAAGTAAAAAAAACTATTTGTCTCGACCATCAAATAAATATATTATATAGTTACGTACCTAAATGATTTATTCAGTTATAAAATAATTAAAATACAATTGATATGAATTCATCATTAATTAAATGTATGAGTTTCTTTTTCTTATACCTACATTATAAATTCACAACTTATTTTGTATTATTAAAAAAAAAAAGTCACAAATCAAATTATTACTTGCTAGTCACCAGTCTGATTGTTTACCCAGTATCGTAAAATAAAAAAATTAATGAAGACCATACCGATACGGCAATACCTACATAAACCGCAAAATAATAATTAAACATGTTTCATACAAAATTCAACAAAATATCAGTTCTGACTGTTCTGAGTACCTAATAAGTCGTGTTTTTTTCAACTTATATCGCTGACAATTTGAATACTGATTAATACTTATTAAAGTATTAAATTGTTTGAGTGTTTAAAATGTTTAAATATACATAACACATTATACGTAAATAAATAATAACAATAATGTATATAGCCAATAGCCATACAGGAGACATAATACAAACCATATATTATTACTTGAGTATAACTCTTAAACGTAGCCCATTAAAATTAAGTCATAGTTATTAAGCCTATTTTATTTTTAATTTGTTTGATTCATAATATACGGAGTGATCCACCAGGCGGTTATGCTGGTCCAATATCTGGTCATACTGGTGAATTTAATGTCATTGGTATGCTCGACCCCCTTTTACTTAAATAATTAGTTCGATCAAATCTATAAGTATATTTAAGGACATATCTTAAAATGTTTATATTTTTTCATGACATTTCAAAGAGTGGTCTGTGGCGATACAAACATATTTCTTCAAATGAAAACCGCCTTTTTTCTGTAAACCGTCAAGTTGATGGTTTTTGTTTTAAAATTCAATGAGCACACATCAAATTTTTACAAGTAATTTAGTTTCTAATTTTAAATTATTAAACTTTATCTTCTAAGGATAATAGGTTTCTATATACAAATCCTATATGATGATTTTAAAATTTTACTTATTCATTATTAATATTAACATATAAGCATTTTATAATTTGTTAAAACTGCCTTTGTTCAATAATAACTAGGTACTAAGGTACCTACAAGTATGACATAAAATGTTATGTATATTTTTTTTAAATAGTAGGTACTACTGGTTATTATCTTTAGTACATAGATAAAGTTAGTAAGTAAATAAAGTTCACTGCTCTTTCAAATTTTAATCAAATGAATTATCATTTTTTTTAATGTGTGTACTTTACAATTTACATTAGAAATGGTGGTTCTCAATTAAAAATAAATTGTTATCAACACAGAACACTCCAATTTCAATTATTATTGAGTTCTTATCATAATTGTTTTTTGCTATAGGTAACCGAAATTATGTATTTATTTGAATTAAATGATTACCTATATAATAATATTATACCATTCAAAATGTCACGATTAGTAAATTGTACAGTGCAGTTCATATAAACACAAAATATAATAATTTATAACCATAAATATATTTAATCTATTCTTTAGTATAGGTAAACAATTAAAATGGACATTGCAAGTTATAAATACAACAGGTAGATTATCCTAGGTAGCGTTAACATTAACAATAATTCTAATATTCGACTGTACCTATGTTCTATTATACATATCAATTATAAGTTATTTATCATCGTTATTCGTTACAATAATATAATAAAGTGCTATTCCCCGCGAAATATGCCTTATTCACATTTTTTCATTTAATAATGAGTTAATTAAAATTCCGATTTTTGACATTCTTAAGTAAGTATTATACTATTAATTGATGGTCATATTTTCAATTATTAAGATTTTATATTGGTGCCATTAAAGGAGTATAGTTGCGACTGGCGATACAAATATGTTATCTACATACAAAAATTAACATGTTTTACCATACAATTTTAAACAGATATTTTTTTTTGAAAAGTTGAATGAATCCAAATCAAAATTTGACTCAGTAGTTTCTATGTTAGTATAGTAATTAAATGTACCTAAACACTATAAAGATAATAGTCCTTAAAAATGGTTACACAAAAATATAAAATATGTGTAGTAAATAGTAATATTGAATTTAGTATTCATTATACTCTGACAATTTTTACAAATTATAAAAATATGTTGATTTATTAATAATAGTTACAATATTTTTCAAACCATCGTACCTGCCATATCTTTCAAACCTGAGCCTGTATTATTAATACACAAAAATAAAATTAAATAATTCAAAAATTACTTGTTCACATTTTTACTTAGATAAGTACATCAAAATTTCCATGCAATATTTTGCTAAAAAATTTACAGAAAAAAGGTTCTCATTAGTTTAAAAAAAGTCGTCAATTAGATAACCGCTCTACCGTACAATACTAGGGCAGGGTACCAGAGTATATCCATCACTGAATAGGCATTTTAATGACTAATGGTCGATGGATGTATTAAGTTTGAATGCAATGATAAATTATTGTGTACGATGAAAAACAATTCTGAGCGATGGTGGTACAACTTTTTAATAACCGACGTCACCAAAAAATTATTTAATTAATAACATTACAATTTTTACAATTAATGTATATAATACAATAAAATAATACATAGTACATACAACTTTTTGGCTGAATAAATCTTTTTGCTTTCCAACAGATTTTAGGTATATACTTAATGTTTTGTTTATCGCCTCAGAAACGTCAGTAAAAAAAAAAATATATCTTTGATATCTCTAAAGGAAAAAAATATGGAGTAAGTAGCTTCCTTGTTTTTTTTTTTTTGTTTTTCTCGATTATTTTAAAAAGCATTAAGAGTTTTCAATTTTAACTTCCTAAAAATGCCAACTAGAATACTAGATCCAAATTATCGCTACCACAAAAATAAAAACCTACATAATTGTAAAAAATCAATACATCCTTCACTCCGCACAAAATAAAAAGAAGTTTATAATTTAGATAGGTACATCACTAAATTACACGGTTTAAATGGTATTTATCATTAATTCAGTCCCTAAGTAAACTGAATAGTTAAAAAACCAGAATTTAAATAAATGTATTATTAAATGTAAAAAGAGAGTGAGCATGCTTAGTGAACCACCTTGTATAGTTCAATATATAATTATAATAAAACCCCCACTTGCCTCCCCCCCCAATACCTACCACTGGATACTATCATTGATAAATACTACAAATATTGTATTTATAATCAATGAATATTGAATATTTTGTGTTTTAACAAAATTGTAACCCCTTCCCCCACCAGATCCGTCGCCAGATTACTCAGGATCAGTATTTGTATATACGTTAGAGACTTTAATAATTTGAGACTTACTATACTTATACAGTTATACCAACATAAATGTATTCCATTTTCATAGTCAATTTAATATATTTATCAAGTGATACAGTAGCATGTCAACCGTAGGATCGTATTCGTTAACATTGTTTCGATTTCAAAATATTTTTCAGTCGATAAATTGTACGGCTTAAGTCGTCCATGTATATTATCTATTATACAATAATTCATCGCGCAATACGCATAGCTTTTTTTCTTCATAAAATCAAGTGGTACTTACCTACTCAAGAAACTCCCAATCCGAAACAACTGTATAGTATTATACAAAAACTCGAATTTCGCAGACCGTTTAGTAGGTGGCAGTCAGTTATGACTTATGAGGTATAATTCTTGTTTTTGGACGATCTTTAAGTACAGATCATAACGATGACCAATGTGGGCACCTATTATATTATAATTTATAGTATTATTTTGATCGGATCGATACCACAGAAAATTACGACTGAAAATAAAACTTATAAATCACTAAAAAATTTTGTTTGTCGATGTCCGTAATGTAGATATTGTATTAATAATTAGCGAAGTATATGCGGTATGTATACGATAAGATAGGTCACAATACACAAATGTATAGCCCTCTATATAGATGTTGAAGAAATTATAATACAGACTTGAATGACTTCATATAATATTATATCGTACGCGTATGCAGTCGGACACTGCCGCAAGTCTCCGACGTTACACTAACGACCAAATGTCGTGCAGTGCGTCTATTTATTAGGTATAATATTGTTGTTATTCTTATTCTTATTATTATTATTATTATTATTATTATTATTATTACACTGCTTGTGTTTACACGCGCGCGTTTGGGGTAATGCTTATTAATTTATATTTCGTACTGTCACAATATCGTTTAAACATCTACACGGTTATCTGCGTATGTACATTCTACATACTATATTAATACTCATTAGCATTAATATATTAAAGTGTTATCGTTTAACGATTGTCCACAAACTATAACGTACGAACGGTGGTCGGTTTAATAGCATTCTGGTGTCTCCCCGTTGTCGTTACATTGTGCAGTTTGTTTAATTTGTGATAGTTAATAATAATATAATTAATAATGATTCAATCCGAACACACAAAACATCAAGCATATTATGATTGACTTATTAAGAAAAACAAACCTGTACAATAAAATTTAACTTGAAATTAAAATGAATTCTTACCCAACTATGTAACCATCTTATAATTGTAAGACTGCAACCGTACTTGTGAAATGTTAAACCAATAAACTTCATGGTTTTTAATGAAAAAAAAAATAATGATTATAAATACACGTACAAATAGTATAACGCACACGTGTGTCTTATATAAACTCGTTTTACTTGGTATCCCCTGCAGGGGCCTGAAAAATAATAGTAGGTACCTATCTGTTTGTTGTCATATAGGAGCAGAGTTCTGAAAACGTATGGGTACCTACGTTCTACTTAATGAATAATGGTACACTTGACACTTGGTACCTATACTTAATGCTTATAATGTTTGTTCAAATTTAAAATGTGTCTGTTATAGTGTTATCCTGCAAATTGTGAACATCATAAAAACGGGTACCTATGTTTAAATATAAAAAAATTAACGATTAATTTTTAGGTAACATCAAATTTAAACGATCGCATGGCCGTCACGTGTTATCACCTTTATATACTTATAATATTAGGTATGTATAGTGACCATGGCTATATAGTCGTAATTGAAATACTCGTTAATCCTATATTATTGAAAAATAGTCCACGGTCGACTCTTTTTGACCGAAAAATTAATGTGTTCTTATATTTTATATATTATATCAAAAATGACAAAATATTGTGGATTTTAATGCGTCATATAATTCGCCGATAATTTTAAACTCATATTTTATTCTAAAAAATTGTATAAATTAAAGGCCTTGGGGAGAGGTTTAAACCCTTATGTAACCCCTTCCCTTATTCACCCTATACAATCTTACTGACATTACCCAACATGGTAATCAGAGGCGTGATCAGGAATTTTGAATAACCCTCCTCAACATTTTGTAATACAATATAATCAATATTTAATATACGTTATGAATTAAAATCATAATTGTATGTAAGTAGTAAGTACATATATATTTGTCAAGTGTTCATAAGGGGGGGGAGTTAACACCCTAACCCACCCTGAGCAAGACCATGATGTCAACACTTCGCATTTACAATTTATTTTAATTTTTTAATATTTATTTTTAATTGTAAACAATATGTAGGTATATGCCAAAACAACTATAATATATGAATGAAAAATTAATAAATTAATATTACCCTGGGTGTAAATTGTAGGTATATTATGGTTACTTTAAAGTTCAAATATTTTCATAAGTAAAAATAATTGCGATTGAATCATTACTCAAACAATAAATATTTTAAAAAATTCAATAAATTACTGACCTGATACAATAAAAAATAAAACTCGTTGAATGTTATTTCTCGTCGTAATTACTATCCATTTGCCATAACCGCTATTTATTATATAGTGATCATCTCATAAGTCGTAACGTGTTTCAAATCAACTCGCATAACTGACAAGGACGAGGACACGAATTCTTTCATTATTCGCAAATCATTTCCAATCTGTTTAGTAGGAGGTACCTGAATACAAATACGTGTGAAGAAGTACCTACCTATATATTATGTTGTTTTTCAATTAATGTTTTCTTAAAACAATGTTTTTTTTTCTAAATATTTTTATTGATGTACAAGAATATGTTTTGTTATTACTGAATAACTGGTAGTTACCGACCAAATGCCAAATTCAATGTTATTATAAAATACAGTTTAATATGAATTGTATATACGACAAATACTTACATATAAATTAATTCAATTTTGCATTAAGTTTGAATTAAATATTTATAACTTCAAATTTCAATAGTCTTAAAATACATGAAAAATATATTATTATAATGTCCATTATAATTTATAATAATTTATTTATATGATCATATTAAACATGATTTATAAATTATATACATCAAATACTATGTTTTTTAATCTTAAATTTTATTTTGTACAATAATAATTACCTAGTTAGCAATATTTACTCGGATTAGATTCTCTCTAATTGAGTACAGTAATAAGGATTTTGAGGATATTTTGTGTTTTAATTATTTAATACTACGTCTGTGTAACTGTAAATAAAAAAAATAAATACGAAAAATAAAATAAATAAATACAGCAATAAATACGCATTTTTACCAATTATTATAAACCTATCTGCTCCGCTTCCATCAACTATGTGTATATATATATATATTATATACAATACCAATTAGTTTAATTACGAACACCATCTAGATGATCTACACAGATCAGACTCGGGGGTTAACATCAACAATTTAAAACCTCATTTTTTTAATAACATAAATCAATCCGTTTGACAAAATAAAATCAAAAGTTATTAGTGAGAAAAAAAACTAAAATTCAAAGTGTTACTAATAACTAATGACCGCTATAAAAGCCAAAGTTCTAATCAAGATCAATAAAAATAAAAACGAATTACATTTTGACATCAAATAATATTACATGATAATTATACATTATTCGCTCGTCCCTCGGTCGAGGAGACCATTCACTAATATAATTAATAACAAGTAGCCATTAGACTTGCTCAGACCTTGCTGGAAAGAAGGGCAGACTTTTTGGTTACACAGTTCTCGTCCATTACATAATCGTATATTTTTTAAGATGATTTATTAATATCACGTTATGGTCCAAGATAATATAAGATTGTCTTACATTTTCATAAGTTATTAAACTTTATTTGGGGAAAAAAAGTTCACCTTTCAAGAGGGGCAGCTGCCACATGCCCACATCACGCCTCCCGTTTGCGAGTCCAGGTAAATAGTTCTTCGTATATTATTGATGTTGCTCTGAGTTAGCATACATTTTTTGAGTTTGAGTCCTATTACTGCTCATATTACAACAAAAAGCAAAATATGTATTAAGAAACAAGAAACCCTAATGCCGATTATTCGAATTGTAACAAAATAGTCTATTATCTATATTCATCTTTCTTTCTGACTTTCTTTATCCGCTATAGAATAAAAAACTACTTACTGACTAAAAATTGTATCAACAGTTTCCTTGAGACTCGGAGGAGGTTATAGCTTATTTTTCAAATCCTAAAGGTTGAGTTACTATAGAACGACTCACACATACCATTAGTTATGGCTCACGAAAATCGAATGTTTTTTTTATATTTATTTAAATGATTATCTACAGATTATAATACAACTATCTTTTAATAAGTATAGAAATATGGCATGTAAAAATGATATAAAATATTTTTTTTGCATCCAGTTTTTTTGTGTTCACGTGAAAAATATGTCCATATTTCCATAACTAAGAAGTGTAAAATCATAAAGTCATTGTAATTGGGTTTGTGTTACATATTTCAACAGAAGCAAAACGAAAAACGATAGAAAGATAGACTAGTTGACAGTAGAAACCCGTGTGAAGTCGGGTGACTAATTATTATAAAAAACAGGCGATGAACTCTACCACTCATTCAAGTCGTTGCTGACCGTACAACTACTATGAAACAATGCTAATAACTGCAGTTAAGTACAATATTTATCACTGGTTAGTCGTTACCATCTTGGACTGAGACTAGCATATACTAGAAAGGTCTGCAACGACTGCAAGAGAGCAAGGTTCAGCAAGGTGGTTCTCTTTAATAATTGTAAATAATATTCAGTATTAGGTAGGTACCTATTCAGTCAGTATTCACTTACTAACATTTTTTTTTTTAAAGCTCATGACAATATTTTGTTGTGGTTTTTATCAAGACGGCTGTCGACGTTCCTCTTATATTTTTCTGAACCACCCCGTTATTCCCAACTCTTGTATGTTCCTAATTAATAATTAATATAACTTCTATTACAGGTGTATACTGTTACTGTATAAGATACTTAACACATGCGTCATAAGCTCACAGACCGTATGTTTCTACCGCTATAGTATAGGCTTTAATCACTAGTATCTTGTACCTAGGTACTAATGTAATTTCTGCAGTTTATTTGCTTTTAGAATAAAATTTCTTTTTTAATCGTAATATTGTTAATTTTGCTTACTAAAAATTAAAATGCCATCGAAACAAAATGTTTAAAAACGCACCTCTTTCTGAAAGTTTATTATAGTTGATTGTAAAATTGCATAGTTAGTATTGTCTCGTGACTTTGTCTGGTTATCTTCGCCAGTTGTCGATGTGAGAGAAACGTATTAGCAGTTGCGTATATAGAAGGGGGGTAGGAGTTCAACCATACATAATATAAGAATCTTGGGTACCTACAACTCTCCCCCTCCCCCGAAATAAAATCCTATTTAAGCAGTGTTTAAGTATAATACCCACAATCACGTGGAGTGTATAATATTATATCGTTATCACTGTATGTGTAACAGTTGTCTGTCAGTTTACAGTTATCAGTTAAAAAACACGTATTTTATACGTTGACATAATATAATATTTCAGGTATATCGTATATATATATGAACATATTTGTACTGTTGTACAGCACGAAGCTGCACAATACACGCACAGAGGCACATACCTAGCTTAAATTATTATGTCAGACATTCGCGCACAAATACCTTATTATTATTCTCGAGACTGCAGAATTAAAAAAGGCAAGTCCGATTTCCGTTATTTAGAAGATAAGTCTAGATATAGT